TCCGGGTGGATGACGTATGAGGTCGGCTTTGCGCATGCGCCCCTCAGAAGTGACGAACGTGGAAACACAGTGGAGAGATCAAAACAACGGTCACTAATTATAAGCACAAAATGAGGATTTGTAAAGAAGAATGTCGGAGGATTTCGATATAAGCCAAGAGGAGACTGGTTTTCCTTTGCTAAAGTAAGGAAACTTTGCTTCTTTTGATCCTGTAAACAAACGTTGGTTTTCAGGAGACTCACCGGCGCATGCGTAACGCTGACCCCATAGGTCATGCTCCCGGAACTGCTTCTGTGTACAGCTGTTGGCGCAAGCTAGATTCAAGTGATTATTATGTTTTGAATATGGATATTTTTCTTACAAGAACGCATCGATTCGCTACAGGAGGCCTTTGTTCACCCCCCGGAGCTGTGTGAGACACTTTTTTTTGTGGAAGGGTGCTTTTTATTTCACGTCTTTTGAACCGAAGGAATGCAACACCCGCTGAGTACAACGATAGAGCTTGAAAGATCAAAAACAATTTTTTATATAACTCCGACTGGATTCGTCTGAAAGAAGAAAGTCATATACACCTAGGATGCATCGGGGGTGAGTAAAACGCAGCCTAATTTTCATTTTTGGCTGAACTAACCCTTTAAAGCTTAGCAGGATTTATATAATGATTAACGATTAAATATTTTATTTTCCCTGAACTTTTTTCCTTGTTTCATAAATATGTGACATCTAAATTAAGGAATGTCATATTTTACGCTATCGATACCGCTTCACAAAACAAAATAAAAAACACTTATTGATTGAAAAAAATCCATTTGTACTTGAACTTCCTGTTCATTTACATTCATGCTACCACAGCAAATTAGTCTGAAAACAGCTGCCACTCACTCATAAACACACACAAGCACATGGTGTGTAGCATTAGCATTAAATGCTGGTGTCTCTGTCCTCTCCTCCCATAAACACCTTTGTTTATCTTTAATTACAGTCCTTCTCATTCCTTTGACCTGTCCATGAACATTTAGTTTTGCTCTACACTTTCCATTCTCAACCTCCCTCCATCAATGAGACTGACTGACTCTTCTACTTTACCTTCAAGAAGTTCTAACTTCCCGTTTCCTGGTTATATATAAAGGATTGCAGCAGAATCTGGGAGCCAGACCTGCATTTAAAAAAAAAGATGAATTCAGGTTGATGTCATAATAAACAATTCTACCATAAGTTCTATGGTAATTCATATACAAAAAAATATATATAATTTTTACCGTTTTAATTTTGTTCAGTAAAAATGAACAATTCTGCAAAAACAGTGTAGTTTTTCTGTATATAGTAATTTTCTTTTAACCAAGTAGCATTTTTACTTAAAAAAAAAAAAAAGAAAAAAGTAAGTGTAATATACACACCTGCATAGTTTTGTTTATATCTTCCAGTGCTGTATAAAGACAATCTCAAGTGTCAGACTGTTGCAAAAACAGAGACTGACCATAAAACACATTGTTGTGGAATGTATCACTTAATGGGGTGGTTAATGTTTACACCCGACTGTATTCAAGAGTAAGTGATAACGATAAGGCAAATAAAGATACATGGCACTAACTGCACTGGGGTTGAACCACATTCAAATTTTAATCACTTGACCCATTTAACCTGTAGATTTCTATTGATTAATGATTGTACTACTTACATTTTTGGTTTATGGCATGAGAATGATAATTGCACAAAGCTCGATCCTGGTGCGATCATATAACTGAGCTCAATATCATTCTTTCTATTGCATTTCTTATTGAAGGAAACCAGACTGAAACAGAACATTGTCCGTTCTTATTCACACAGATCCTCAGTAAACGCTTATTTAGTAGTGTGAGCAACTGATTAAAAGTAATAATCTAAAATAAGATAGTCTGCATAAAATTAGTCGTGAATGATGAAACATTTCACATTATGTCCTACTGTATGTTTATGCCGATAGCACAGCTTGTACTTGAATCTTTTCAGATAAAGATTTGATGGAATGATAGAGTGGCTTCAAGGTCTGTGCAACGTTCTCCACAGCAAACACATCTGTCACACATAGCTGTGGAACTCTACATGGATAAAACAAAAAAATATTACATCACTGAGTTTGAAAAGTCTCAAGAAGAATAAACAAAAAAAAAGAGACACTTCTGAAATAGCCTTGGACAAACTGCCTTTAGGAAGTGAACAGATGATCTGCCACGTCTCAGACTCCAATGTTTTTCGCTTGGGAACAGAAATTCTTGCGGAAGCCCAGTTATTTGACTCTACACTGCTATCTTTTTTCTTCTGGAAACTATAAAACCTGGTTGGAACAGGCCATGAATGCCTCCCACACAGCTCACATAAGTCCACCTGCTCAGGTCCCAGTGGGAGCGCTAGAAAATGAGAATGAAAGTGGCATGAATGAACAGACTGCGCCATCTGCTGGTCGCAAAACACTGGACACCATCATAAGCAGGTTTAGTAATTCCTGGTGTACCTTTATTGGTTCATAAATGCAAAATGTCTGACAAATTTGGAGGGCATTTGATCCACCCAGAACTTCGGCTATTGACCGACTTCACTGAAAAGCCTGTCCAGTTTCTTCATTTCAAGTCTTAAGGTCGTAACTAAAAAAAACTAACTATTAACAAAAAGTGTAAAGAATAATAAAAATGACAATAGAAATCCCTTTGAAAACCAAAGTAAACAAAACATAGGCATTTTCATATTTTCACATGGCAATAAATATGGACCATAGACTTTCTATCTGTACAGAGACAATTTATCTAATCATTTAATCACTTGTATTATAAAAAAATATGACTTCAGTGCAATTTCCCTGCAAGGCTTGCCGCCGAAACCTTTGTTTCTTGTCTATATAACAGCAACGCCTGTCTCGTTTACCCTAACGTATAAAGAAAATCCTTTCTCTTCTTCAAATACCAGCTCATTTGAAACACCCCCCCAAAAAATCCATATTCATAAAAAGAACTCACAGCCTTTTATCTTTGACACTTCAAGCAGTAAATCTGGACAGAAAAAGGCACACATCACTAGAATACTGGACAAGACACGAAATATTGGAATTACTCTCGATTTAAGTTTTCATCTTGGTCATTTAGAAATGTATTCATACCCATTCTTAATGTTTTGCAAGTACAAGTTTTTTTTCTTTTTTTTTTTTACATATACATATTCAAATAGATATATTAAGATTGCAATGTCAATAAAGATACAGGAGGGACAGACGCAATCGATTTACAGAAATATTTTTTCCAAGAAAAAAAAAAGTGCATCATATTACAATCTTGAATATTGCAGAACAAACATTTACCAAGTTACCAATAGTATTGAAAATTTTGTATATAAAAAATAAGCGCATTACAAAACAAAACAATAGTAGTATTAGCAGTAGAAAGCATTTCACCACTGTGCACAGAGGCTTTTAAGTGCTATCTGGATCACCTTCCTGGCTCTGAGGAGCACTGCCAGATCCTGAACATCCTTCTGAAAAAGAGCCACGTCCCCTGAGTGGCGCCGCTACAGACTTTTCCGTCGTTTCACGTGAGGAACTCGCTGCTTCCCCCTGCAAGATCCTCTCGGCTCCTTCATCGCTGTCTGCCGCTGCTTTCCTGGATGTTTCGGGACTGAAGGTGCGAGTCTTTGTGGCGGAGCTCAAGTCGCCATATTGCTTTCTGACCTTTGCAGTCCGTTGCTCCCCTCCACCTTGTTGTGAAGGGGGGAGTTTGGGTAACGTCGAGCTTGTACTGGGACAAGACAGGTCAGACCGGCTGGCTCCCCCATCTAGGCTTTTTGTCCTGTTGTCCGCCAGTGTCCTTTGCGGACTGGTTTCCGGAAGCGAGATCCATGGGTAATCCCTCCTGGTGAGGGAAAAAAGGGAGTCCTCTTTAGGAGAGGTGGGCGAAGGGGTGGAGGATGACTGTCGTTCCAGCTTGGGCCGTGATCGGGGTCTGAGCTGCACCATTTGGATGCCCCCAATAGGAATCATGTGATAGGGCATGCGGGCTTGATCTTGGGAGTGTAAAGGAAGGTGGCTAAACATGCGGTCCACTGTCCGTGGCATCACAGGACTCGGAGGGAAAGACTCGCTTGGAGAGAAGCGTAGGGATGGGGAAAGCAGGCAGGGATCCGGGGGCATACGCTCCTGTAAAGTTGGTTGAGTACCAGGCCTGTCCTGTAGGGGGAGACATGGCATTGCAATCAAACAAATATATTCCTTTGTTTTACGGAGTCTTCATTTTTTAAACTGCTTTACTCATTGTTTTTGTCTTTTGGCGAATATTTTTAATTCATCATATTTTCCTAGCCAGTATATATTTTTAATGTTACATTTTTTGGTTTGAGTTTAAAATATTTTCCGATTATCATCGTAATTTACACTTTTTGTTCATAAAAAAAAATAAATAAATAAAAAACAGTCAACATTCATTTAATAATAATTGTAAAAAAAATCCCACACAGGCTGACAGGAAAAATTTGCCTCTACCTAAATTCTTGTCAAAATAAATAAAAAAAAGCATAAAAAAAATAAATAAATAAGAAAGACTCACTGCAGTTTCCAGAAGAATGAAAATTAATGGCAGTAAAACACCAACAACTTTTCACACAATTTATGCTTTCTGGGGCAGGGGCAGATTATTATTTTCATGCAGTTCCTTGCATAATACTATGTTATGACTTCAAAACACTTTTTACCATATGCATCATTTCTAAACTAATCACATAAACTGCTCCAAATGTATGTCTTTTTAACAAAGTAAACTTCCTTGGTAGCTCAGCTGGTACAGCATTGAACTTAGGATGCAAAACACTTGGGTACGAGTCCCGTGAAACACAAAGACTTGTAAAAGTAAGATAAAATGGCATAACTGCTCTATCAAATGCTGTTTTACCTCAGGTTTGCCTTTGCCGTGATACATACAACTAATATAATAAAATGTTGCCACAATAACATTCATCTGTTTCTAAGAAAACTGAGTTTTACGTAACATTTGCCTTTGCTAGGTAGGGTTTAGTAGGTGGTATATTATTTTCAAACATGACTTGAATGTTGCCATACATTTTTTTTACTTTTATCTCACGTTAGTTTTTGCTAGGCAGAGTTTAGTAATTTAGGTGCTGTTATTTTCAAATGTAACACAACATTTGCCTTTCTTTTCTGAACTGTTGCAATGCGTATAACAACCAACATAATATAATGTTGCCACATTTATGTTCATCTCTTTTTTGTGCTATTAGCTCACTCACTGGACATTTTACTTTGAAAGTGCCGAGAAGAAACGAAATATTGAAAACATTATTTAAGTTGTATTGCGTTACCCACCTTTTGGCCGTCAGTAGCTGGTGTGCTAGGCTCCCAGTGGAGCCCTGCGGGTGAGCTGTGCGGCCGATGCTGGGGCTTTAGGGGCATATGAGAGGAGACAGCTCTTGCGCTCCTGTACCGTGCCGGGGATACAGGCCTCAGAGGTGAGAGAGGCTTGAAAGGGGAGAGGGCTCTGATGGGTGACGGGCCCCTCTCTGGGGAAGGAGAGAGATGACGGCTGGGTGAGGACAATTCAAGCCTTGGAGACAGGCTTCTAAGGGGAGAGCCTTCACTGCTAGGGGAGAAGGTCCTCTGGGAAACCTCCCAGCCCTTGCGGGAGTACGATGCCCTCTTGCTGCCTGGAGATGTGGCTCGTATGCCAGGCCACGGTCTGTGGGGTGAGGAGTATTCCTCTTTGGCTTTAGGGTCAGCGGGCTCGGTCTGTGAGCCTTGGCCACTTTCAGAGAGGTCACCTGTGGATTGACGAGTATCAGTGGAACAGGCTGAAGATGGTTCATCGTGGGAAGAGAAGTCTTCTTCCTCATCCTCATCATCTTCTGCTTCAGAATCGTCAACATCAGAGAACTGGTGCCCCTCCTGTTCTTCTGACTCACACACTCGCTCCTCACTGCCTCCTGTTGGACAGAAATGAATGCGTTCATAAATGTAACAAAGGAGTCAACACACAAAATAAGTAGATACAACTTAAAAATGAACCAAAGGGGAGATCGAGGTCAGCTATCTATCTATCTATCTGTCTGTCTGTCTGTCTGTCTATATGTACATACATTTTTATTTCCATTTTAGTTTATTTTAATACATCAAGTTAAACTAGTTTATTACATCGTTTTAAAAAAAAATCATTTTAATTGTAGTTTCAGTTTTAGTTCCAGTTAGCCATAATAACTCTGGTCACATGATCCTTCAGAAATAATTCTAATATGCTTATTTGGTGCTCAAGAAATATTTATTATTACTATTAAATGTTTAAAACAGTTGTGCTGCTTAATATTTCTGTGTAAACTGTATTTTTTTCAGGATTTGTTGAACAGAAAATATAATTTTTTGTAACATTATAAATGTCTTTACCATTACTTTTGATCAATTTAATACATCCTTAAAAAATATAATAAAAAAATTACCAACCCCAAACTTTTGACAGGTAGCATAAAATGAAAGGCACGTGGCAACTTACCTCAATTTGACATTTATAAAAAATTACCTTGTCCCGAAAACACAATTCAAACCTTGGTTAAAATTCTTCATTATATAGTTGATATTTGTCTGAATGTATACTAAATGTGGCTTTATTGTGTTCACTCATTCATCAAACAGCTACAGCAAAAATCAAGAAAATATACATGCATCATTTTGACTCAAAGCTCTTGTGACAACTAGCCCCAGTCTCCTCTCATAAACTCTCATTAATCCCCCATGGAAAGCTATATATAACGTTCAAATGCAAAAAAAAAAAAAAAATGTTTTTGAGTTGTGCTTCATTCATCAGCTACATTTAAAATCTAGTGAATGGAATGTGGCTGAATGAAATGTCCTTGTAGCTCTTAGATGCACTGAGAATGAAAAATGTCAAGAAAAAGACAAAGTAAAAGAGAGAGACAGACAGGGAGAAAGGCAATTTTCAGTTCTGGCTTTATATAAACACAGTAAACTGAAGGTCAGTCTTGCTTCTCTTTATGGCAAACTATTTTCATTGGCTTCTTTCAACTTTCAAGTCTGAAAGCACACCGCAAGGTTGACATCACTTTTGCACCAATGAAGCAAACAAGCTAAAAAAAATATCTGGATATGGTGGAATATGTTCTAGAATTAGTCTGTAGCCCAAAGGGTGAGCAATTTAAGCTTTTGAAATTTATACTTCACTATACCACAAGCCATCTACATTTTCAATGTGTAAAGTATCATATGAATGTAATGTAACACACTAAACTACGCCTGAATGCAAGGAATCATTAACTGAGAACTGTGGAAGATGGCTTAAATGATCAAACTGCAGCTACATATCGTCACTCACACCCCTGATGCCCATCAAACCACAAAAACTCTTTTTGGCAACCCTACCTGCTTCCTCAGACTCCAGCTCATCCACAGATGACTCTGACACACCCATCTCCAGGCATTTCTTGCCGTGGGCCTTGGACTTCATGTGTTTGGTAAGGTTCCCTTTGAGGAAAGGATATTCTCAATTACACAGAATACAAAAATCACATCTTTTGGTGACAAGAACTCAAACACAGAGGAACTGTGATGTAGCTGGATGGGATGTGTTTGAAAAAAGATATTTGTCTACCTTTGGTTTTAAAGGCGAAGTTGCAGTGCTTACAGACGTAAGGACGGACGTCTGTATGAGTGCGAATGTGCTTTTTTAGCATGCTGGGCTTCTTGCAGCGAATCCCACATTCTCCACATACATATTTTCCTCTCCCTCGACCCCGAACATATACATAGTTCTCATTTGACTTATACCTGCTCAGGTGAGAGAGAGAGAGAGAGAGAGAGAGAGAGAGAGAGACAGATAGGTTAATAAAAATAATAGATTCATTAAGATGAATAATATAAAGATAGAGTCTTCACTTTGGCAGGATCCTGATATAAATTTTCCAAAACACTGAATCTCTCATTAGAAGAGGTCTGGACTGCCACTATATATTTTCAGCACTTGTCAGGCCACTGATGGTCTCAAGAAACCATGCTTTGGCTCAAACTATGTGTTTTTTGCTGGCAAGACAATTCCAATTGAGGACAGAGAGATAAAATTGGCCATATATAAAAATGTATTAACTCCATATCATGCGTCTA